GACCTGTTAATCTAGATTTCAGTATGTTACTACCTGCACTTTCCCAGTCTGTAGAACAAGAGCTGTGTTATTTCTTAAGAGCGGTGTTTGGAATCAGTTGTTAGTTTCTGACTAAAGCAGTACTAACATCTGGTGGAGGGAACGATTTGACACTGGAAATGGCTGACTTGATCTTTGCATTTCACTGTCATTATCTCTTCCATCGGGACTGGCTGTTTTGTGGAGCTCTCTTTGGCTTATTGTGACAACATGGAAGTTTCCTCCAGCTTTTCTCTTAAAACCACATCCACCGTCACTCTTCTGGCTCATTTCAGACGTTTGGTTCTTTCCAGTTGCATGAACAGTGCTTGTGCTACTAGCACCTGAGGAAAAACACCCAGCCACAAGGAAATCCACATCAGGACTGTGAAGATGTGCTGAGCTTAGGCTCTGGCTGTTCTTTATTAAAGATAACTGCTGTTGATCTACTCATTTGGGGTTGGCAACCCCCATACTGAAAACCACTGGTCTGTATCTTCCTATGTCCATTGCAACTTAGAGCAACTGCTTTTATAAATGAAGGCTTTTTGGAAGACTAGAAGGGAAACTGCCTAATTCAAATACTTTGTTTACAGTGTGGTTATATAGCCCCCATAAAGAGGGATTCTGCACCTCCAAATTGCTGTAAGCAACTTCCCGCTGGGTGAAATTTGACTGGTGAATGTTTCGGTATTCAGAGTAGTTCCTGGGGTTTATTACACAAACAAAGTAATACACTTAAGCTTTAGCTTGGTTATGGAATACAGTGTATATCTTAATTTTGATCTGAATTTGATATGTTGCAAAAATCCATATAATTATATGGATCTATTTTAAAATGTCTTTTTCTCCACTGTATATGTGAAGTTTGAATAAAGGAATGAAAGTTATTTTACAGTTATATGCATTCTCAGGTGTGAGCTTTCCTGAAGTCCCAGAGAGACTGAGAGTGAATAAGGTGATAGGATGCTGTCCTTTGGAAGATTTATACAGGAATAATTCATTAGAATGGATGCATTGCCAAAGATACCTGGGAGTTGTGCTAACTGGGTGTTGTAGTGTGCCTTTCCCAACTATCTCCTCTCTTTAGTAGGTAACAGGGTAGTTAGTCAGCTGTGGGTTATTTAATCTTCTAAGGTCCTGAATCAGGATTAATAGCATCTTTTCACAAGAAAGACTTGAACTCTTGATTCAGGCCAGCGTGGTGATGCTAAGTTTTCAAGATGGATAATGCTATTTCTTCTTGCATCAAACACAGTCACTTCCATAGAAAAAACAGGGGTTAAGAGCAAGCATTTAGATACTTCTGACTCCTCAAGTAATTTATTTGAGCTTTAAATTTGGCTCGCAAGAATAGGATTTCAAAACTCTTAAGTTTGCTCCCTTTCCATAGCAGTTTCCAGTGTTCAGAGTGTTGTCTGCACTGAGCTGTGTTTCAGACCCTGTGCCAGGCACTGAGGTCCTGCTCGGCAAAGTCACGTCGCTTTCAGAGGGGTGTGGGTGGGTCGGGGGGTGACCAATGTGTGTGGGCAACAGATCTGTTCTGCGAGGCTGTACAACACGTTACCTGTACTTGGTGATAAGTACACGGGGGTACTTTGTACCTGCAGCACCAGCTCTTATCCAAGCTAATGTCCTGTCCTCCTTACCCACCCCCCGCCTTCTGTGTCCAAGACCATTTTGGTGCTCAGTGGGGCTTCTCTGTACCCTACAAGGTCTAGAAAGCATTTTGTTTAACAAACAAACTCTGCTAATTTCCAATAAAGACCCTTCCTGTAATGGCTTCCAAAGTCCCGAATGAAATGTAGCTTTGAGGGAGGTAGAGTACATAAATGCATGAAGATGGTTTTAAATTAACCTCAGAATGTATAGTAGGCCCTTTCATCAGTCAGATGATTTTGAGCTGAGTGATTTCCCTTTTTCCATGCCACCAAACCCCTAAGTTCTAGTTTGATGCCATTTTGAAACTTGTTTTAGTTTGGGGTTTTTTAAAGGCTTTGTTCTCTTCATTCTCCTCGGTGCTGGCAAAAATTCTGTTCTGCTGTTTCATCTTCCTCACCAGGAGTGCAAACCTGATGTCCCTGACACTGCTTTTAACTGAAAGGCGGGTTTACTTGGTTTTCTCCAGGCTTACACCTTCATGCATTTTAAAAGCTAAACCAGGCAAGTAGTTACAGATACTCTATATAGCTTTTTTTCCAAAGGGATGTCCGATTTCCCTCTGCTTGGGAAATATCAGTTATAGTTCCCTGCTGAAGGGACAAGAGAAGAAATGCCTTTTCTCTTTTTACATTGATGGGGATTTAGCTTGCATGCACATCTTAATCTTTAGGTGCGTATGGTAAAGGCTCATTTGTACAGTACAGAGTGGTACAAAGAGGAAACAAAAGATATACAGCCCTTACTAATGTGGACAGTGAGCTCCACAGCATCATAATTGTGAAGCTTCTTGCACAGGTTTGAGTCCTCAAGCTGCATCTTGTTTAGAGAGAGCATTTTCAATATGCTTCCAATAGGAAGATAACTTGCAAATAAGAGCCTTAACTCTGTCTATAAAGGTGTTTTTTTTTCTGTTCTTAAAGTTTCTTTCACACCAAGTTGTACACAGTTCGTGGAAACTGCAGATATTTTTTCCACTCTCTCATATTAAAGCTGTAAATCTTACCAGAACTCTTTGTTTCTGTAATATGCTTTTTTTGTGGTGTTAATTATGATGCCACCTCGCAAATGTAATTATTCTATTGGAAACCAGTGTTAAGTGTCACAACGTAAATAAAACCATTGTTTTCATTACTGCCTTATGGCACTAATACTAATCTATTGGTTGTACTTCTTGGAGCTCTTCAGAAGAAACCAGCAGCTACTGCAGAGTTTGCAGGTGTGTTCACAGATAAATTCTTACACCAATATTGCAATTTCCTTGTGACTGCAAGTGAGGATGTGCTCTTTAGTGTAATTTTTATATAAATCAAGTTTGTACACACTTTCAGATTTGTTGGCTTACCTGGACCTCAGGGTAGATCTGGTAACCCGAATCACAAATTTAAGACAGCAGCACCACATAAAAGGTTGCATTTTACAGGGTGTTTTTCTTTGCGTGTTGTAGGATTTAGGCACCACTGGTCTGTCTCTTCATGGTCAGTGTTGAGTAATCACTCACTAGCACTGAGTAATGGAAAATTACTAACACCAACTACTCCTTAGGAAGTAAAACTATTCCCAGAAAAAGAGCTGGGCTTTTTTCAATTGCATACTTCAGCTGAAAAGTGGATTTCACAACATCAATGCAGCCTAAGTGATACAAATATTCCTTAACATGATGCTTCTTCTCAGTGGGTGTGACTTGACTCCTTAACCAAACTAGTGGTAGTTTGGCTACTTTTGGTGAGGGACAGCTCACAAAAACATACGGTTGTTACATCTGTGTAACTTGGAGTTTGGTTCTGACATTTCACCAGTCTTAGGAAAAAACCCTGACACCCTAAACCACAACTGAATGAACCACAAAGTGTCCCTTTGCTTCTGTGAAAGGACACCTGAACTGAGGGAGCAACAGTAAGGGTACTGCAGGCATTCACCCTCTTGGAAACAAAAGAAGTCTTATGTTCCCCTCCATCCTTCCATGCTGACTGTTTCTCCTTGTGACACCAAAAGGATGTCAGGGGTGAGAGAGTGGGGAGAACAGGAAAGAGAAAAAGAGAGGTGAAACGTGGTGCAGGTGCTGGGGCAATGGAAGGTGTGAGGGCTGCAGGGGATAAGTGGGCTCGCTGGAAGCAGGTATGGCAGCTCCTCAAACTCCTGGAGGAGCCAAGTGTGAAGATTATCAATGCACATCAGCTTCCCAGCACGGCGCCCCTGTGCCTGCAGGATGGAGCCCGGGACCTGTGAGTGCTTCATCTGTGCCAGGTCTAACCTGAACAGTAAGTCGTACTTGTCTGTCCCTCCTTTGGGGATGAGCAGCATGGCTGGAGCTCCTTTGCTTGTTAGTTTTACATCTGGGAACAGTAAGCAGTGCCAAACTGGCTAAAGATCTTTTCTGCATTCTCTTAAGGGATCAGAAATCTACAATGTTTCTGCAGTCCTTCACTGCAAACTGCGAAAGGACCGACATGGTCCTTTTTCACCCTGTGATACGGCTCTTCAAAGAGTATTATCGGGCAAACCCGAACACACAAACACTTGATAGTCTTTGACAGGAACACCTGCGGTCTGCGTTTCTCCTTCAAAGACACTTTCGAGTCTCCTCCAGGTAACACAACTCCGCAGTGATTACCACGGTGTAGAAGTGCATCACGCCAAAGAGCACCGAGAGCTGGGGCTTCTGCACGGTGACACCCTCAGCAGGGACTGGCCCTGTGCGCCCCTCTGTGTGTCCTTGTCTGCACCCCCGTGTTAGTCCGTGTGTGCCGGTCCGTGCGCGCTCCCGCCGCAGTGCCCGCCCCGCCGGCCGCGGCACCGCGGGCCCTGCTCGCCCCCCGGCATCACCTGCTCAGACGGGCGCCGGGCCGGGCCTTCCAGCACAGGTGTCGCTCCGCAGGGGAGGGGTTCCCCTGTTTAATAAGGAGCTTTAATGTAACATATCCCGCAGGCACAGACCGAGCACGGCCCGTCCCGCCCCGGCAGCGCCGACCGGGCCCGAGGCCTCTGTTCCGGGCGTCCGCGGCCATGCAGCCTCCCATTGGCGCTAGAGGCCGGCGGCCGCGCTCCCATTGGCGGGACCGGCTGTCACTCTTCGCACTCCGATCCCTGCGGGACCGGCGGTTGGCTGCCTCCTCTGTGTGGCCGCGCTGATTGGGTACTCTTCCCGTTGTGGCCGCCTCTCCCGCCTTGCGATTGGCCCGTGCGCCCCCGCCCCGGCGGGCGGTCCCCGCTGGCTGCCCGGGCCGTCAGTCGCGGCGGGGCGGGGGCGGTGCTCGGAGGTCTCTGCCCGCCCCCGCCTCGGCACTGCCCCCGCCCCAGCACCGCCCGCCGGCCCCGGCCCGGCCTCGCCTCGCCCCGGGCTCTCCGCGACACCACCGCCAGCAGCCGCCGCAGCGGAGGCAGCGGCGCCCCGGCAGCATGAAGGTGACCGTGGACTTCGAGGAGTGCCTGAAGGACTCGCCGCGTTTCAGGTACCGCCGGGAAGGGGCCGCGCCGGGGTCGTGCCGAGGGACAGGAAGCGGGGCCGGGTGTGCGCGGGGCGGGCAGGGGCTGCTGGGGCGGGGGCCGTGGGGGCCAGGTATGGGCAGCCGGCTCCGGGGAGAGCGGCAGGCGGGGCTGTGGTGGGTCCTGCCGGGTTGTGGGGGGCTCTGAGGAGGAGGGGGACGCGGGAAGTGCGAGGGAAGGGGGCAGCGTGTGTGGTACGTGAGACTGGGTGGGCAATGTGCGGGTCTGGGGCTCGTGTGGAGGTGGCAGAGTGCGCGGTGATCGCTGCTGGGGTCACCCCCTCTGAAGAGATGGGTGAGGAGTGCCAGGCAGCTGGTGCTCATCATCCACAGCAATGCCAGCTCGGGCTCGGGAGCGTGGACTCTCTTGGTGGTCCATCTCCGCTCCTCCAGGGCTGTGTTCGTGCTTCAGTCCCCCGTGTCTCCTGCTGCACGGTCCGTACTCGCTGTGCCCACTGTTGGGGTGCCAGTACCAAACAAACTCGTATAATCTCACTTCCTGTTGTCACACCAAGGCACGGACTCTTGTTTTTTCCCCACTCTAGTGACCAGTTGTCTGTCATTGCTGTAGGGTTACTTCTGCTTAAGTCGGGCAGCTTTCCCCTTCATCTTTCCCTATGTTTTTATCCATTATCTCTCATATTTTACACCATTGTATCTACTCAACATAGTTGAGCCTCTCTAAGGGATGTGTGGCTGGTCTGTGCCTCCATACACCTACCACCCTCCCTGCTCGTTGGTGGAGACACAAACAGCTCCATGACATGATGTGTCACTGCTGTGCCCCTCCTGCCCCATGCTGAGCCCATGTTTGGAGTGCCTGTGGCTCTGTGGTTGACACAGCCTGGATGAGCTCTGCTTGTTGAGGGAAATACTCCTGCCCTTCCTCTGCTCTCTGGCTATATGTTCACGCCTCCTTTTTGTATCAGCTTTACCAATTGCGTGGTTCTGGGATGTGGAGGAAGTTGGAGAAGGGTTGAATGGTTTATGCTTGGCAGAAGTTGGAGTTCCTGTTCTTCCCTCCTTTGCTCCTGTCCCTGCTGCCTGCTGTTTGCTGGCTGTTTCTGCCATGGGTTTTTTGGTGACTGTGACATGTATTGTTGGATCCTTCAATGAGCTGGGTGTCCTGGCAGAAGAGACTGGATGGTTCTCTGCCAGGTTAGTGCATTGAGTCAGCACTGCAAGGGGTGTGAAACCTGCTAAAGCTTATAGGGGGGAGAGAGAGGAAACTTCACTGCCGGAAGCAAGGCTAGAGGAAGGCAGCAAGGAGTGAGACCTCCCCTAGGGCAACAGGCAGCTCAGCTGCTCCACAAAACTTTGCCCTGAGTTGGACATGCTTGCTAGTGTGTGTGTTTTGTCTGTCACAACTGTATTTAATCAGTCCATCTTGTTTGGTGACAATGTAGTTGTAGATTGACTTAATTTAACCACAGAACTAATTGCATTTTTTTGGTTACTGATACTTGCTAAAGTATTAAATACACTAGAGAAAACAAGAAATTGTGACTAAAATTTGTGAGCAGAAGTGTGCTGCTGTTTATTCAGGTTAAGACATACAAGTTCATTTGAATTCACTTTGTATCATTCTCCTTTTGCCCCTCTTGATTCCTTTCCTTCAAGGAAAGAAACTTTGTCTTCAGGATCCTTTAGTACTTCATGGTCTTTCCCTCAGTCTCTGATACTACTACCCTTGAAGAAGTTGCAGAAAACCTTGTGGTGCCATCACTTGGTGCCAGCAAAACATCCTTCCAGCCTTTAACTGATAGGAAGTGGTTAAAATCATGAAGAAAAAGTCCTGTAGTATTTCTGAAAAAACGTTTATATCTCTCATTATTAGTCATTAATATTTGCTATTATAATTTCGATCATTTTTAGTGTTCCTGTGAATTGCCCAACCAAAACACCAGAAACCTTCTGAATGAAGGTTACTGCTCTGGTTTTGTTGAGGGATGTTGGAGACACTGATGTAGAGCAAGGTCGTGACAAAGTCCTTCACTCTTGCAGGGAGTAGCGTGGACATAAAGCACCTTCCTGTGCTGTGTTCCCTGTAGCAAAGCAGAGCTGCAGCTTTGCTGAGCAGGAGGGTGTAGCCTCCCTCCTTCCCATCACTGTACCTGTTGGAGCAGTTAAATAAACCTGTTGGGAGGCATATGGTGTAGAGAAATGTCACAGAGGTTACTTTCTTATGGTCGTGGAGAGATCTGGGAGGACATGGGTGAATCAGAGTTCCTGAGTCACCAAATCTCTGTTTTCATGGGGAACTGTTTAAATATTTTCAAACATGCTACTACAGACAGCTTCAGACACATGGCTTTCTTGCTTACCTGTCTCTTGTGGAGTTCATGTTCATCTCTTTTGGCTTTGAGATTTAATTGGGCCCTGAATCACAGAAACAAAGGTCTGTTTCCTTGCCTGAAATGCATCTGAAGGGAGAGGGGGTTGTGCCTGTTGATACATGATTAGTTAATAATGGCCTCTCTTAAGATATGAACAGGCCAAAGATCTAGCAAGGAAATGCATTTGCAGTTCTGCAACAGTGTGTGGTGACTTCCCATCAAATGAAGAACTTGCCTGGGGAGGGGCAGTCCTTGAGTAGTAAGAACTGATCTGTGCTGGCATGTTCTGTGTATATAATCAGGAATTCCTAGAGTAGTTTTTGATATGCAAATAGTCTTGTGAAACAATTCTTTCTCCTTTAAACAATGAGAGTTTGAGCTTCAGAGTGTAATGGAACAGGCTTTTACATTGCTGTTTCATTTTTTCTTGTAACTAAAGAACGTTTTCTCTCAATGAGTGAGGTAGGCACTGTGTTAACCACATGAATCAGTCTGCAGCTAAATTATTAGAAAGGAGAAGCAATTTTAAGTGATGTGGAAATAACAGCTATTGTAAGTAGCAGTTAACAATCTTGATAAACAACAAATAATAGAAAAAGCTTGCAGTGTGTGCAATTGTAGAACTCTCTACAAAACCCTTTGGTCTGATCCAGTTTTTAAAAATGCATCAGGAAAAAGATGAACGTTTTTGAGATAATTTCTTTGCCCTTATCTGTCACTGTTGCTGAAGTTTAAATTTTTTTTTGTATTTAAATTCCTGTTTGCTTCCTGAGACCCCAGCTGCAGAACAGATGATGGGTGAATGAGGTAGATGAAAGAATATACATGAAACTGTTGCCAATTACCATTCTAAGTAAAAGTATCCATGGATAGTATCTGAGTTGAACTGGTTGTTATAATGTATTCCCTTCAAAGGGACTCATCTGAGAAGTCTTCCATTTAGTGTGAGCTAGAGCTTTGCTTTGGGTGGGTAGTCTCTGGTGTAAGACTGGCTCGTCACTGGAGTTCCCTGGTATGTGCTGGTTTTCTTCTTCTGTGGCTTTGCTTCTGGTCTGTCTGAATGGGGCCAGCTGAGGGGCACCTCGTGCTTATGTAGGGGATGAGGCTGAACGGGCCACTTGTGCCATTTTATGGCTTTCTGGGTGTATGATGTGGTTTTTTTGCTCTCCTCTTTGGTGCTGTGTAACCAGAGGTAAGTCACTACGCATCTGTTTCCCAGGTAACAAGAAACGTTTTGTCACTTAAAATATGAGTAATATAAGCAAGTGACTTATTTAACTTCTTTGGAATAGGTTGTATTCTGTATTCAGAAAATTATCCTAAGTGTCTAACACGTATACTTTGGTCTGATTATTACTTTCTGAGGAAATGTAGAAATAAGAACATCCTGAAGTTGTCCCTTCAGTGTTGGGTTCCAGTGGGAAGGTGCTGCAGGGCAGCTGCTTCCCAACCTGCTGGGAGTGGCAACAAACCCCTCTGGTTTGGTCTGGGTTTATAGCACAGCTCATCCGTGGGGTTGTGGCTGAGTTGAAATCACTGGGGCTGCTGTGGCCAAACTCAGCCACATTTCAAATGTGAAGAGTTATGTGACCAAGAACTCTGCATACAAAATCTGTTTGTTTTGCTCAGACTTACCTAGCTGTTTTAGAATAAATTTTCAAAGGAATGTTTAGTCTGTGCTTTCTGTCCTTGGTGTTTGGGACTGAGAAGCAAATTTGTAACTTACTTGGCAGGGCAGGGTGGAAAGTATTGCAGAAGAATAGGAAAAAAGATACAGTAAGTCAGAAGAGAAAGCTGCCAAACATTTAAGTTTGCATTTAGCATTTTTCATATTTGTGTGGTGGTGTTAATGTTTATAATTTCCAGTTTGTGACTGTAGAACTGCACTTTTTGTAGCTGAAATGAGTGACATGGAGGACAATCTTGGCAGGGTGCTGGGAAGTTACACGTGTACAACATCCCTGTCCCTGCTGCTGGGACTGGACTCCCTCCTGATTGATTCTAGATTTCTAAGGATTTATTTATTTTTAAATCTGTAACTATGCCTTTCAAATGTACATTAAGAAAATGATTGACCTAAAGAAAGGGGGGTGTTTTTGAACATAGTGTGCAATGTCAGAGCATTTTCTTCTAGGGAAATCATTCAAGAATAAAAAAGGTTTGTCGAAGATCCCTCTCAAATACGTCTTAAAAATCTCTCACGCTGAAACCCTTTAAATCTGAAAAGGCTTTAACATTAAGTTGTTGCAGTCCTTCCTAATGGAGATTAGAGGTGTCCTGAAATCAGGTCATCTTCATTTGGTTAGTGAACCTAAGTGTTTTTAATAATAATAATAAAAAAAGTTGACTGTTACAATTATGAATTACAAAGTATAGGGGTTTTGATGATGATTCTGTTTCTTTGTTGTTTGATTATGATTTACATTAAGTAACAACAAACTGAAAAATCTTTGCTATATCTCAAATTGCTAATAGGAACTCAAGATGTTAATTTCCTTTTTTTTTTTTTCTGTTTTTGTCTGGGAATCTTTAAAAAAACCCCACACTGAGAAGGGAACTTACAGTGGAAGTAATAACAAAATCTGCAAGTTATCATAGCGTTGCTCTAGCACAGCAGCAGGGCAGTTGCTG